GTTTATGAGTTTACAGTGAGTTTAAATTGAGTTTACAGTGAGTTTATATTGAGTTTACAGTGAGTTTATGAGTTTACAGTGAGTTTAAATTGAGTTTACAGTGAGTTTATATTGAGTTTACAGTGAGTTTATATTGAGTTTATATTGAGTTTACAGTGAGTTTATATTGAGTTTACAGTGAGTTTATATTGATTGAGTTTACAGTGAGTTTACAGTGAGTTTACAGTGAGTTTATATTGAGTTTACAGTGAGTTTATATTGAGTTTACAGTGAGTTTACAGTGAGTTTAAATTGAGTTTACAGTGAGTTTATATTGAGTTTACAGTGAGTTTATATTGAGTTTACAGTGAGTTTATATTGAGTTTACAGTGAGTTTATATTGAGTTTACAGTGAGTTTAAATTGAGTTTACAGTGAGTTTATATTGAGTTTACAGTGAGTTTATATTGAGTTTACAGTGAGTTTATATTGAGTTTACAGTGAGTTTATATTGAGTTTATGAGTTTATGGTGAGTTTAAATTGAGTTTACAGTGAGTTTATATTGATTGAGTTTACAGTGAGTTTATATTGAGTTTACAGTGAGTTTATATTGGGTTTATATTGAGTTTACAGTGAGTTTATATTGAGTTTACAGTGAGTTTATATTGAGTTTACTGTGGGTTTAAATTGAGTTTACAGTGAGTTTATATTGATTTTACAGTGAGTTTATATTGAGTTTACAGTGAGTTTATATTGAGTTTATGAGTTTACAGTGAGTTTATGAGTTTACAGTGAGTTTAAATTGAGTTTACAGTGAGTTTATATTGAGTTTACAGTGAGTTTACAGTGAGTTTATATTGATTGAGTTTACAGTGAGTTTACAGTGAGTTTACAGTGAGTTTACAGTGAGTTAACAGTAAGTTTACAGTGAGTTTACAGTGAGTTTATATTGAGTTTACAGTGAGTTCATGAGTGAGTGTATAAATTGTCTGTTGTCGATCGGAAATTTTATATTTTAAGAGAACTTTAATAGTTTTCAGTAATAGTAGTTGAAAGTCCACATGGGTCAACTCTCGAAGGCACTGACCATAGCATCATAATGTTTCTTACCTTAAAGAGGATTCAAACCCAATGCACCTAATAGCCTAACTGAGCTACCGACTTAAAGAGAAATGTGACTTGTACTAGAACAGTGCCCAGGATACAGTGTATTTATATTAGGACGTCTCTACCGGTGCTTCTGATGGTTTGTGTGTGTGACATGTAGACCACATAATTTTGAAAATCTGACCTTAAGGTGAATTTGAACCCAATACACTGAATCGCTTAACAAACTCGTTTTTGGCTTAGCTTAGTGTATAACAAGGCTAAATAAGGAAAATTATGATAGAATACGACGTTTCTTGCGTCAGGACATCTCTACTGTCGTTTTTACGACATGTTAAGCACATACTTTGGAAAGTGTTAGGATATAAATACGGTGTTATTACAATAAGTGTGGATAGTGTTTAGACCCACTGTGTTGTCACATACAATATGAGTGGGTGTTATAACTTGTGTTTTGTAACCAGAGCCAGAAAAGCAAAGGTATGATCTCTTTTAAAATCTAATATCTTACCCACCAAAGTTTTATTTTACTTCTCCACCCATTTCTCTTAGAACAAACTTGTTGATGTGAAGATCTGTAACAAAAACACAAGGGAATATATTATGTTATAACACACTTCTTTAATAACAGCGTCCAGAGACAACTAGGGCAAACCTGTTGAGGCGTCATGATCGCAAGACACTCATGGTGCGTCTGAAAGGGTTCTCCCAATAGACTTTTCGGAAAATAGAATTGATTTGGTGCATTCTGACACATATTTAGAGGCAAAATGTATACAAATCTTATTTTTATTTTGTTAAGAATAAGGTGGAGATATAAACTATAATTGAGGGTGCAAATCATTTTGCTAGGGGCCTTTTCTGTCCCCTCATTGACGCCGACACTGTTTTAGCTGTTCATTGTCAGTGATCTGAGGATGATATCAAGTGATTTGCCATCTTTCTGGTCTGTTTTCTTTCTTCCTGAATGTTTGATATTTTTAGATATTGCACTAGTTTATCATGTCAGACTATCCCAGAACGGTGCCAGGTTTTGGAATCATTCCAAATTTTTCTGAATTAGTATCAATCGTTATCTAATTCTTTATTTTAATGTCTGAGAAGATATTTCAGTTCTATTAAAATTGAGATTAGAAATTGTAAAAGTTTTGATTAACTCAATTACTGTTTTACTGATACCGTTTTAGATGTTATAGTGCAGTTTTTATAGTTATTAGTTTACAAGTTACATAGTTTTAAGATTACTTGAATTTGAGAATTGATAGGATATCCTAGAAACAGTGTTAGAAGTTAAGACCCTAGGATATCCTAGAAACAGTGTTAGAAGTTAATACCCTATGATATCCTAGAAACAGTGTTAGACGTTAAGACCCCAGGAAACACTAGAAACAGTGTTAGAAGTTAAGACCCTAGGATATCCTAGAAACAGTGTTAGAAGCAAAGACCCTAGGATATCCTAGAAACAATGATAGAAAGTAGATTCTAGGATATCCTAGAGACAGTGTTAAAAGCTAAGACTCTAGGACATCCTAGAAGCAGTGTTAGAAGTTAAAACCCTAGGATATCCTAGAAACAGTGTTAGAAGTTAAGACTCCAGATATCCTAGAAACAGTGTTAGAAGTTAAGACCCTAGGATATCCTAGAAACAGTGTTAGAAGTTAAAACATCTAGGATATCCTAGAAACAGTGATAGAAGTTAAGACTCTAGGATATCCTAGAAACAGTGTTAGAAACAGTGTTAGAAGTTAAGACCCTAGGATATCCTAGAATCAGTGTTAGAAGTTAAGACCCTAGGATATCCTAGAAGCAGTGTTAGAAGTTAAGACTCTAGGATATCCTAGTAACAGTGTTAGAAGTTAAGACCCTAGGATATCCTAGAAACAGTGTTAGAATTTGAGAATTGATAGGATATCCTAGAAACAGTGATAGAAGTTAAGACTCTAGTATATCCTAGAAACAGTGTTAGAAGTTAAGACCCTAGGATATCCTAGAAATAGTGTTAGAAGTTAAGACCCTAGGTATCCTAGAAACAGTGTTAAAAGCTAATACCCTAGGAAACACTAGAAACAGTGTTAGAAGTTAAGACTCTAGGATATCCTAGTAACAGTGTTAGAAGTTAAGACCCTAGGTATCCTAGAAACAGTGTTAAAAGCTAAGACCCTAGGAAACACTAGAAACAGTGTTAGAAGTTAAGACCCTAGGATATCCTAGAAACAGTGTTAGAAGTTAAGAGCCTAGGATATCCTAGAAACAGTGTTAGAAGTTAAGAGCCTAGGATATCCTAGAAACAGTGTTAGAAGTTAAGACCCTAGGATATCCTAGAAACAGTGTTAGAAGTTAAGACCCTAGGATATCCTAGAAACAGTGATAGAAGTTAAGACCCTAGGATATCCTAGAAATAGTGTTAGAAGTTAAGACCCTAGGTATCCTAGAAACAGTGTTAAAAGCTAAGACCCTAGGATATCCTAGAAACAGTGTTAGAAAGTAAGATTCTAGGATATCCTAGAAACAGTGTTAGAAGCTAAGACCCTAGGGTATCCTAGAAACAGTGTTAGAAGCAAAGACCCCAGGAAACACTAGAAACAGTGTTAGAAGCTAAGACCCTAGGGTATCCTAGAAACAGTGTTAGAAGCAAAGACCCTAGGATATCCTAGAAACAGTGTTAGAAATTAAGACCCTAGGATATCCTAGAAACAATGATAGAAAGTAAGATTCTAGGATATCCTAGAAACAGTGTTAGAAGCTAAGACCCTAGGTATCCTAGAAACAGTGTTAAAAGCTAAGACCTTAGGACATCATAGAAACAGTGTTAGAAGTTAAGACTCTATGATATCCTAGAAACAGTGTTAGAAATTAAGACCCTAGGAGACCCTAGGACACACTAGAAACAGTGTTAGAAGTTAAGACCCTAGAACACACTAGAAACAGTGTTAGAAGTTAAGACCCTAGGATATCCTAGAAACAGTGATAGAAAGTAAGATTCTAGGATATCCTAGAAAAGGTGTTAAAAGCTAAGACCCTAGGAAACACTAGAAACAGTGTTAGAAGTTAAGACCCTAGGATATCCTAGAAACAGTGTTAGAAGTTAAGAGCCTAGGATATCCTAGAAACAGTGTTAGAAACAAAGACCCTAGGATATCCTAGAAACAGTGATAGAAGTTAAGACCCTAGGATATCCTAGAAACAGTGTTAGAAGTTAAGACCCCAGGAAACACTAGAAACAGTGTTAGAAGTTAAGACCCTAGGATATCCTAGAAACAGTGTTAAAAGCTAAGACCCTAGGACATCCTAGAAACAGTGTTAGAAGTTAAGACCCTAGGATATCCTAGAAACAGTGTTAGAAGTTAAGACTCTAGGATATCCTAGTAACAGTGTTAGAAGTTAAGAGCCTAGGATATCCTAGAAACAGTGTTAGAAGTTAAGAGCCTAGGATATCCTAGAAACAGTGTTAGAAGTTAAGAGCCTAGGATATCCTAGAAAAAATGTTAGAAGTTTAGACCATAGGATATCCTAGAAACAGTGTTAGAAGTTAAGACCATAGCGCCAAGATCATTTCGAGAATACGTGGCCAGGTGTTAATTTAGTTGTAGTTCAACATAAAACACTCGTAAATATCCCGGGATATATTTTATTATTGTTAAATAGGCTGAAGATTGTTTCTAGTTTTATAGTCTAGTTATTATGATCATGAAGAATAATTATATGTATATTAATTCCTAGGTTTTATATCATACCATCATACATATATCGGTGGTTCAGTAGCACTTTCAGGATTATTCATAAAGCATCGAAGTCAAGACCGTGTTATTTTATCTTTACAATAGAGATACAAAGACACATTTTCACTGAAGTACAGATTTATAGATTTATAGACTCTTAAAATTCCTCGTCAAAAAATGTCGAGAGAAATACTTCTAATGTCCTAGCAGACAACAATACAACTGTCTGCTGACTGAGCTATTCCACTGTCTTAGCAGACGGCAACCCAACTCTCCACTGACTGAGCTATTCCACTGTTCTAGCAGACAACAATCTAATTCTCTACTGACTGAGCTATTCCACTGTCCTAGCAGACAACAATCTAATTCTCTACTGACTGAGCTATTCCACTGTCCTGGCAGACGACATCCCAACTCGCTACTGACTGAGCTATTCCACTGCCCTAGCAGACGACATTCCAACTCGCTACTGACTGAGCTATTCCACTGTCTTAGCAGACAACAATCTAATTCTCTACTGACTGAGCTATTCCACTGTCCTAGCAGACAACAGTCTAATTCTCTACTGACTGAGCTATTCCACTGTCCTAGCAGACGACATTCCAACTCGCTACTGACTGAGCTATTCCACTGCCCTAGCAGACGACATTCCAACTCGCTACTGACTGAGCTATTCCACTGTCTTAGCAGACAACAATCTAACTCTCTACTGACTGAGCTATTCCACTGTCCTAGCAGACAACAATCTAACTCTCTACTGACTGAGCTATTCCACTGTCCTAGCAGACGACATTCCAACTCGCTACTGACTGAGCTATTCCACTGTCCTAGCAGACGACATTCCAACTCGCTACTGACTGAGCTATTCCACTGTCTTAGCAGACAACAATCTAACTCTCTACTGACTGAGCTATTCCACTGTCCTAGCAGACAACAATCTAATTCTCTACTGACTGAGCTATTCCACTGTCCTAGCAGACGACATTCCAACTCGCTACTGACTGAGCTATTCCACTGCCCTAGCAGACGACATTCCAACTCGCTACTGACTGAGCTATTCCACTGTCCTAGCAGACGGCAATCCAACTCGCTACTGACTGAGCTATTCCACTGTCCTAGCAGACGACAACTTAACTCTCCACTGATTGAGCTATTCCACTGCCCTAGCAGACGACAATCCAACTCTCTACTGACTGAGCTATTCCACTGTCCTAGCAGACGGCAACCGAACTCTCCACTGATTGAGCTATTCCACTGTCATAGCAGACGGCAATCCTACTGACTACCGACTGAGCTATCCAACTGTCCTAGCAGACGACAACCCACCCAGCTACCGACCTAGAGGTTCCATGTCCCTAGCAGACGACAATCCACCTCGCTAGCGACTAAGCTATCCAACTGTGCTAGCAGACGATAATCCAACTTGCTGTTAATTGAATTTGGTATATAACACAGGATGTAGGTATTAATCAAAGTTACTGATATTGTATGTTCAACATGTGATTTTATTTAAAGTATTCTACTAGTGAATACTAATGGTCTATCTTCTCATTAGAGCTGATTCACTGTGTTTCCTGGTTGGGGGCCTCAGTGGCTTATATCAGTCAGTTAAACACTTACGATCCCCGGTTTCAACCCGGTTTCCTCCAGTAATATTCGACTGTATTATAGTAATTAGCACTGATCCTCCAGTTCCAAACGTCTTATTATTTTCATTTCTTCATTTTATGTATACTATTTTTATATAACAAATGTCATTGTTTTATGTGTAATACATAAACTCCTCAAAGTGATATTTATTTTTCACCTTAAAATAATAATCTTTCCAATGCTTCTAATTATAATATTTTATTTTTTTCACTTCTTTGTGTTACTTTTCATATACTTTTCATATACATGTACCTGTGTTTCATTTTATTGTTTATTGGAAATCATTTTACTGTTCTATATTTGTATGATGCCCACAAAGGGCGTATATATATAATAAATCGTGTAGTGCCAAAATCTGTGAATCCCCAGCCACCCTTTCCCCTATTCTACCCCTTCACCTAATTATTCATGAAACGTCATTCATGAGAAATGAACTCATCGGCGTATTTTGGCGGAAATTATTGCACCCTCCCCCCTACTACCCTTCTTCGGGCCATCAAAAATGGAAAAATTATTCATTTCCAAAATTGCTTTAGATGCATTCTCCGGCTCCCCGGTGGTAGACCACCCTGACCATGACTAGTGCCCTCTTAATTCTAAAATCCCCAGTACGACACGGAATAGAATAATTAGTTACTATGAGTTTATATTTGAATGATTTAGATTAAAGAGAGTAAGACTGGGGGATCAATATATACAAGGTCAAGCTTCTACTTATATTACCATTACAGTTTATAACTTCTATTGACTTATTCTCTACAACTCCATTTCAATATCTAGCTGTCCTGATGACGATTTTATATCTGAAACACAGCAGTCTAAGAAAAACTCTAGTCAATTTAGAATATGATGCCCTGACAGTAGCATCACCCCCCTACCCCCTCCCCCCCCCCACCCCCCCATCCCGTCACCCCCCACAAGAAAAGAGGCTTGCCAGGCTTTGCCCCCCACTTTCATTTTTGTTATCATTTTACACAGTGACACAATGACCTGTGGCCCCCCTGGAAAGTTTTGTGGTCTCTGCTCCGCTCTTCACCTTTTGTATCCTATAAACGCCACTGTGCCGTGAATATAATTACCATCAAGTCATAATATCTAAAAAGATCAGAAGGATATGCTATTTTAAATAAGATCATGAAATTTTCCTAATTACGTGATGTTCGTTAAGGTTTTAATAAATGACATTTTCAAATTCAAGTGAAGTCAATGTTTATGTGAATAAGTTAACATCTTTACATTATTTTGGTTTGTTTTGTTGAAAACAAAGGAGACATTATCTGAAAGTAGCATTTTCTCTCTAAAATATTTTTCATTATGAAATACTTACTCATTTATAAATGATATACTTCCTCGTGTTAAAAGTCCTTTCGCTGCTACCAATATTTCGCCAGGATGTTGTTTTGAATTTCCGGTTTAGTTTTGCGATTCAGATCGTTAGGAGACTACTTGGTTAATTTATGTGTCTAGTTTTTGGAAAGGTTTTGTAATTACCGTGGACAAAAATTAAATAAAAATGTCATTTGGATGAGACATCAAGTTTTTGACTTTGTTTCAATATTTGTTTTGTACTGGATGTTGATATCAGATGAAGAAAACAGCAAAATATTTATTTATAATAACCACTGTGTTAAAAGCTAAAATCCGTAGTTTTCGACCATTTTAAAGGCAAAGTCCAGTAGTTGAAAATAGTTGATAATTTTGGGGTGGTCAGAGCAAAGACTGAAAATTCTGTGTGATGTGTTGTTAAAACTGTTGTAATAGATAAGTGTGCTTTTAGTCAACGTTGACATCCACTATCCACTAGATTGAGTTAAAGTCACCGCCTCAAACAAAGCTATTTGGATAAAGTGAACCACAATGTTGTCTATTTACTGATATGAAAGTGTTATTAACAGATGATATATATAGAGGTATAATTAGACTAATGGTTAAAAGTAAAGTGATGTGTTTAGAAGAATAAATAACAGTATCAGTTTATTACCATATCATCTTATTCTCCAAACAATCTTAGCACTTGGATGTCGCCATTTTGGGGAGTTGATTTGGGTCTTGAATACATGTAAATTATATTCAGATACTAGAAATATACACAAATAGCATAATCCCTTCAAAAATATCTCAAACTAGAAATTTCACTTTTTTTTTCTGTTCATGTTTTACCTATATCATGCGGAGTATACAGAAAAGACGACTCGTCATTTTAACTTTCAAACGCGGATAATTCTGAACACATGCGGATTTGAAGGTTTAAATTTCTTAGCTTTGAACTCTGTTACTGATTAGCTTAGCTTAAAATTCCGTTTCTGAGACTAAGGTGCGATAGTTGCTCCAACTTTTTTCTTCTAGGATAACCCTAGCCATGAGATCGTTTCAAGAATACGTGGCCTGGAAGGAACTGTAAAGGGGTTTTGTAAACATTAAATTTATATAATGTATATCGGGGATACTGAAACAATCGATTTGCATCATTCCAATTTTCAATCTGACGTCACTATCATAAAGACCCTAGATGTTATCGGAAGTGATAAACTCACAGGCGATGTGTAAACCGTGTGTAACAAGGTTTGATTTTCGTGTGGTACAGCATGTAACTCTAGTCTAATACAACCAAATCAACAGTCTAGAGCTCTTGTCAGACATGACATGTAACAGTCTATAGCTCTAGTCAGATATGACTGGTAAATACAGCCAAATAAACAGTCTAGAGCTCTAGTCAGATATGACTGATAAATACAGTCAAATCAACAGTCTAGAGCTCTAGTCAGATATGACTGGTAAATACAGCCAAATAAACAGTCTAGAGCTCTAGTCAGATATGACTGGTAAATACAGCCTAATAAACAGTCTAGAGCTCTAGTCAGATATGACTGGTAAATACAGCCTAATAAACAGTCTAGAGCTCTAGTCAGACATGACTGGTAAATACAGCCTAATAAACAGTCTAGAGCTCTAGTCAGATATGACTGGTAAATACAGCCAAATCAACAGTCTAGAGCTCTAGTCAGACATGACTGATAAATACAGTCTAGATCTCTAGTCAGACATGACTGGTGCATACAGCCAAATAAACAGTGTAGAGCTCTAATCAGACATGACTGGTCAATATAGAATCAAACAGTAGTCCTGAATGTAACCTTGACGAAGTATACTATAAATAGTAATAAAGTGAAGTAATATAATAAGAGTATATATTGATGTTTATTGACTGCACTGTCTGGATATATACAATTCTATATACAGCTATACACAGCATTCTCATTACAACTCATATCAATAGACCTACTCTGATTGTTTTGACCTAGTATTAGAAACTATGTATGACTATGTTGAATACTAGTGTATGATTGACTGTGTGTAAGACCTGAGTGATGTATATGTTGACCATTAAAGATTTTAGTCTCGAAGAGCTTGTGATGTGATGTTTTTCCCTGGAATTAGAAACTATGTATGACTATGTGGAAAATTAAAGGGATTGTTTTATGGTCGACGCTGTGACATCACAATTTTTCACACCACGAGGAAGATTCGAACCCCACAGCACCTTATCGACTAGTAGACGACAATCCAACACGCTACAGATTGAGTTATTCCATAATGGTGGATGATTAAGCATGAGTATGAAGTGTAGCTATGTTATACAGGATTTTAATAGTGATTATGATATATGATATTTAGAAGTCTGTTATTGCCATCGATTTTCTCATATTTTGGACAAGATTTTTAGTAAATATTATGTAAACATTTAATAAAAACGAAATGATTCAGTGTGATTTTCAACAGATTTTTACTATTGTTCACAATGTAAGTATAACTTCCGCTGAAAATATAGAAATAAGTTATAGGTGTATATTAATTGCTACTTGACTCTTAAAGATGGCATCAAGTTATGCCATGAAGTGTACAATAGGTATAATTCTTATACATAATCATATTTTATCATAGCTACTAATTCTTTCCTCTTACTGGAACAATGTTGTTCAGACTGGGTTGGTGTAGAGCTGATTCAGTTTTTCTGCCAAGTTAAAAGGTTGACAGAATTGTCCAAGAGATCTCTTAGGTATCACTGTACTCCCTTATGTGGGAATCCTCTGTAGTTTTTTTTAACCCCTTTTGGCTTGTTTTTGGTATACCTTTTGATATCTCTTCATACCTATCTATCTGTGGTGTTTTTTGGTACCTCCTGCGGTATTTGTGGGAACCCCCGTGGTTTGTTTTTGTTTTTGTAGACACCCCTTGTGGTATTTGTAGGCACCCCTTGTGGTATATGTTGATACCCCCTTAAGGTATTTGAGAGTACCCCTATATCTTCTGTCAGGTGGCCTTTAAGGTATTTGTGAATATCCGCTATAGTATTTTCGGATGCCTCAAGGAATCTAGCTAACAATAAATGTAACAGTGTTAGTATTAATACCAATGTGACCTAGAAAGAAACAGTTTACAAGTAATAAACACTAGATAAGTAAACAAACGACTTCATTCATCCATCATTCTACTGTATTACTATATAGTCTTATAGTCAGTTGGTTTAATTATCTCCTATC